TCTTCTTCTTCTTCTTCTTCTTCTTCTTCTTCTTCTTCTTCTTCTTCTTCTTCTTCTTCTTCTTCTTCTTCTTCTTCTTCTTCTTCTTCTTCTTCTTCTTCTTCTTCTTCCTTCTCTTCTTCTTCCTCTCCTCCTCTTCTTCTAATTCCAATTCTAATTCTAATTCTTCTTCTTCTAATTCTCCTCCTCCTCCTCATCCCTCATCCCATTCGTTCTCTCCTTCCCCTTCACAATAGTTCACTCCCTTCTTTTCTACTTTTGTTCTTTCCTTCCTTCCTCCCTCCCTCCCTCCGTCTTCCTCCCTCCTTCTCATTCTCTCTTCCCTCCTTCCCTCTTTCCCTTAATTGCAGCACTCACAACTGTACCCCTAGTTCCATAAAATATCACTCATCAACCCAATCTGGAGGGCGCACCCATCTTTGGGATTTCAAGTTCCCTCACTGAAATTCCAGACAAAAACACAGGGCTGGGTGAAGATGAATTTGATGAATTTATTAAAGGGCACAGACATTTTGGCTAGAAATCAGCCATTTCCAATTGCTTGCAAAAAAAAACAAAACCGCTTCATGGCAAACAATGGCTTTGCTTAACAACCACAATGTTCGCTTAATGACTATCCTGTTTGCTTTATGAGCTTTCGTGTTGGCTTCATAACTGCTGCAAAAAATAAATAATAATCATAAAATCGGGTCCGGTCTTGCTTTATGACCCTCACGGCAATTTGTAGGATTTAATTACGGTTGTAACATGAGGACTATCTGCACCTCTTTATGCATTTGGGAGACAAATCTTATTCCTTGGATTTTTAAAGATTTCGCCGTTCTTTTCTCACCTTTGATTTTTTTTCTGAGGTTAACTTATCTAGAATTATTCTTACACAAAGCTAAAAGGATTATATTCCTTGGGCCTTCAAAAACTTATCAATAATAATAGCGTGATATTATGAGCCTCTTAATCTAGCGGTGCTTTATTTTATATCTTATAATTGATTAGTATGTTATAATATTACTGCTGTTTTTAATGCTATTTCTGTGCTGGCTTTAATTGCAGGCGCATAATAAATTCATTTAATGCTTACTACCAGAAGTACGAACCATGTGATCCTTGCATATAAAATCACAGGAGAAGACGGGGAACGAGGAAGGAAGGACCAGATTCCAATAAAGGAGAATCTTCGTAGCTCAGAGTTGAAATGAGGGGGTCCTTGGTGTTCTCTGAGCTGGGTGGTTTTCTTGCAGACGTTTCGTGACCCAACTAGTTAACATCATCAGTGCTAGAAGGGAGTGGGGTTTGTGGAGTAGAGGAGGAAAAGAACTATGGGGATCTTGGTGCTCTCTGAGCTTGGTTGTTTTCTTGCAGACATTTCACGACCCGAGTAGGTAATATCATCAGTGCTAGAAGGGAGTAGGGTTTGCTTGCTCAGTCAGTGTTGGTGGGTCTTGGTGATTTTGATTGTTTGTCTAGTACCTTGATTGTTGGTCTAGTGTTAATCTTGGTGTTAATCTTGACTGTTGGTCTAGTGTTAATCTTGGTGTTAATCTTGATTTTTGGTCTAGTGTTAATCTTGACTATTGGTCTAGTGTTAATCTTGGTTTTAATCTTGACTGTTGGTCTAGTGTTAATCTTGACTGTTGGTCTAGTGTTAATTTTGGTTTTAATCTTGACTGTTGGTCTAGTGTTAATCTTGACTGTTGGTTTAGTGTTAATCTTGATTGTTGGTCTAGTGTTAATCTTGACTGTTGGTCTAGTGTTAATCTTGACTGTTGGTCTAGTGTTAATCTTGATTGTTGGTCTAGTGTTAATCTTGACTGTTGGTCTAGTGTTAATTTTGGTTTTAATCTTGACTGTTGGTCTAGTGTTAATCTTGACTGTTGGTCTAGTGTTAATCTTGATTGTTGGTCTAGTGTTAATCTTGACTGTTGGTCTAGTGTTAATCTTGATTGTTGGTCTAGTGTTAATCTTGATTGTTGGTCTAGTGTTAATCTTGGTGTTAATCTTGACTGTTGGTCTAGTGACCAGTGCAGACGCACAAGCTAACAGTAAACAACAACTTAATCAAGGAAACACCAAGAACACTCTCACCAACACTGAGGGGGCAAGCCACTAGTACATAAAAGTAAAAGCAAACCCCCTCACTCCCTTCTAGACTGGTGATGCTACCTAGTTGGGTTGTGAAATGTCTGCAAGAAAACCACTAAGCTCAGAGAGCATCAAGGAGTTGTTATCATTGTCGTTGTCGTTGTCGTCGTCGTCGTCGTCCTCCTCCTCCTCCTCCTCCTCCTCCTCCTCCTCTCTGCAAACCCCATTCCTTCTAGCACTGATGATGTTACCTAGTTAGCTCATGAAACATCTGCAAGAAAACCACCAAGCTTTAAAGAGCCCCAAGGACCCCACAAATGACAACATGGCTGAACCCTAAAATGTGAGGGGCAATGGACCCCCAAAAAGCGGCTTCTTCAGTTTGGCCATTGGATTCAACTCTCCAAGCACCAAATTTCTGAAAATCAAATCAGAAGGTCCAGTTGTACGGTCAGGTCAGAGGTCCTCAAGCCAAATTACTTTCCTTCCCCCCCACCCCCCCCCCCCCAAAAAAAAATAATTTGGAAAAATCAACCTGCCGCGAAGGTCTGAACTGATTCAACTGATCAAGTAGGAGCGGGCAGAGATCCAAGTCCTGGGTGCGATCAAATGTGATCTGAACGTCCCGGGTTTTGACCAGTGATCCTGGATGGAACTGAAGGACTGAAGATGACCGGTGGTGGAAATTTACATCTAACAGGTATATCGTGGCCAGGGAAGGCGATCCAGCACCACGTTGCCTTGAGTTTCATAGCTCAGGTTGGACCATTCGATCATGGGTGGATCGTGGACACTGTCGGTAGAATTCCACATGTACACTTGCTGGATCTCTCCGTGGAAGAAGATCTCCTCGTGGTGGGCTCGGCCAAGCTGGACCAAAGCATGCGGTTTGATGAAGTAGCCTTGACGTACCACCTTCCTGGGCAACGTTTTTCCATTGAACTGAAAGGCGAGGACCCCCGTCTCAGATGCCCAGTTGATGCAGATCTTCTGCCACTCTTGGTAGAAATCTGGGACTCGGAAGTGCCGAGACACACCGCCTATGTAGACCGTGTACCACGAAGAGCCATCCTGGCTTTTAACCGTCTCGATCAGGATTTCCTTGTCTTGGTCTTTGGTGGCATAGGAGAAGAGGGCTTGTGTGTCTGGAGAGTCGGAGAAAGAACAGAGGCAGACGGTGATGTTCTGGAGAAGTTCTTGAGGTTGATCCATCTTGAAGGTCACGTAGCCTTTGTGGGAGAAGACGAAGGAATAATCCTGCAGATCTGGGGGAATGAGAGAGAGAGAGAGGGGAGAGAGAGAGAGGGGGAGAGGTAAAGAGAGAGAGAGAGAGAGAGAGAGAGAGAAAGAGAAAGAGAAAGAGAAAAAGAGAGAAAGAGAAAGAGAGAGAGAGAGGGAGAGAGAGAGTAAGAGAGGGAGAGAGAGAGAGAGAGAGAGAGAGAGGGAGAGAGAGAGAAAGAGAGAGAAAGAGAAAGAGAGAGAGAGAGAGGGAGGGAGAGAGAAAGAGAGAGAGAAAGAGAGAAAAAAGAGAAAGAGAAAGAGAGAAAGAGGGAGAGAGAGAGAAAGAGAGGGAGAGAGAGAAAGAGAGAGAGAGGGAGAGAGAGAAAGAGAGAGAGAAAGAAAGAGAAAGAGAGAGAAAGAGAGAAAGAGAGAGAGAGAGAGGGAGGGAGAGAGAAAGAGAGAGAGAGAAATAGAGAAAAAAGAGAAAGAGAAAGAGAGAGAGAAGACAGGTTGATTCGTATTGTGTCTTAGTACATTTCCATCACATTGTTTCTTTGAAAAACTCAAGTCAGGCTAGTGTGTGGGTGTGTGCTAGTTTATGGCTGAGAGAGTGTGTGTGACACTCTTTTTATTTTATCCCCTGGTCCGCAAATCTCTCTGCAGTGCCATGCGCTAAGTCAATTAATTTGCAGTTTTGCTACTGGTTGTTCTCGACTTACAGACAGAATTTCCACCGCTAAGTGAGTTTTGCCCCATTTTACGACCTTTCTTGCCACAGTGGTTCAGTCCATCGCCGCAGTTGTTAAGTGAGCTACCTGATAATTAAGTGAACCTGGCTTCCCCCCTTGACTTTGTTTGTCAGAAGGTCGCAAAGGACGATCACAAGACCGTCATAAATACAGGCCAGTTGCCAAGTGCCTGAATTTTCACCATGTGACCGTGGGGATGCGGCACCGGTCGTAAGTGAGAGGACCAGTCATAAATCCCCCTTCTCAGTGCCGTTGTGAGTTCAAATGAACTTACAACGAATGGCTGTAAATTGAGGACTACAGTCTGTGGGGGCGAGGGCTAAAAAAACAAGATGGACGCCATGAGATGATGGCGCTTCAATTGCCATGGCGGCCATCTTGTTTTTCAACCCTACCCCAGCTCCAAAGAGCTGCCCTCGTGCGGTGTTCATTCATGGGGTTGTTGCCACACAGCCAGCAGGTCAACAGTGGTGACCTTCTCTTTTCACTGGTCATTCTGTCCTCGGCCAGCTAAAAATTGCAGCCGGCTGGATCTCTGTGTGCCAATCTCACCCCTGGCATTAGACCCCAAACAAATAATCCAGGGCAGTTTTTTTCCCCCTACTTTCCGTTGCTTCTTGTCCTTTGGAGAATAGCTTGAAACCCCCCCCCCTCTTCTTTGTGGATTGGCAGGAAATTTAGACCCACCCCTTTTAAGTTCAGGATAAAAGTCTAGGAAGTTGGGGGTTGAAATCTCCAGCTGGGCTGGACCAACCGTGTTTTGTCCTTCTGGTGGTGGCTATATCAGCATGAAGATCTTCTTCTTTTTTCTTCTGTCGGGCCTGCTGGGGGCGCTCTCTCAGGAAAGTGAGTACTGGCATGAAAGTCTATGGAGACTCTCGGTCATCCGGGCCATGGATATCCCACAGGTGCTTTTCCAAAAGCCAACTGGACTTGGTTTTTCTTTGAAGACGTGTCACTTCTCATCCAAGAAGCTTCTTCGGTTCTGAGTGAATGGTGGAGGATGGAAGGATTAATATTTCTCGCAGTCCTCTGGTCGTTAGTGCTCTTCCTGAGAGTCTTTGAGGCCACTTGGAGGCTTATCTGTGCCCTCAGGGTCACCTGAAGAGTGCAAATGGGTGTGGAACGGAGTCCTTTTGGCAGTTACAAGAAGGTTCCTTCTTCTCCTTCTCCTCCTTCACTTTCACCTCCTCCTCCTCCATCTTCTCCTCCTCCTCCTCCACCACCACCACCACCTTCTCTTCTTCCTCCTTCTCCACCTCTTCTTTCACCTCCTCCTCCTCCTCCTTCACCTTCTACTCCTCCTCCATCTCCTCCTGTTCCTCCTTCACCTTCTCTTCTCCTCCTCCTTCTCCTCCTCCTTCTCCTCCTCCTCTTCCTCCTTCACCTGCTCCTTCTCCTCCTCCTCCTCCTCCTTCTCTTCCTCCTTCTCCTCCTCCTTCACCTCCTCCTCCTTCTCCTCCACCTCCTCCTTCTCCTCCTCCTTCACCTTCTATTCCTCCTCCATCTCCTCCTGTTCCTCCTTCACCTTCTCTTCTCCTCCTTCTCCTTCTCCTCTTCCTCCTTCACCTCCTTCTCCTCTTCCTCCTTCTCCTCCTCCTCCTCCTCCTTCTTCACGACCTCCTCCTCTTCCTCCTTCACCTCCTCCTCCTCTTCCTCCTTCACCTCCTTCTCCTCCTCCTTCACCTTCTCCTCCTCCTCCTCTACCTCCTCCTTCTCCTCCACCTCTTCCTTCACCTCCTCCTTCTCCTTCTCCTCCTCCTTCACTTCCTCCTCCTCCTCCCTTCTCTTTCACCACCTTCTCCTCCTCCTCCTCCACCTCCTCTTCCTTCACCTCCTCCTCCTCCTCCATCTCCTGCTTGGCTTTCATTGTTGTAATCATTGTAGTTGTTATTATTCTATTCTTGATCTGATGCCTGATATGAACTGAAGGTTGCAAAAATGAAAAGTGAGCATCTGCTCTCATAGAAACACCTTCAAAGACATACCCATTCTTGGAGAACATTTTTTTTGGTTTTCTGTTCTGCATCAGAGAAAAGGGGCGCATTTCCCCCAGGGCATTCTGGGAAAGATCAAGGTCTATTTAAGGGAAAGGCTGAATGGTCTTGACATCGAGATATCAGAAAGTAAGACGATCAGAGAGATGTTTCTGATCGGAAAGCTTTGTAGCACCTCATTGTTGGTTGGGTGTAGAACTGTCAACGGTTAAAGCAGAATGCATGCTTAGGACAGGTTCCCTAGAGGCAGACAGGACCATTCATGGTTCCTCTGTTGATTTCTTCCCAGACCTTGAAGGCAAAGCCTTTGTGTTCCCGTTGGCTTCAAACAGGGCCTTCGTGAAGTTGAAGATGGACCTCCAGAAGCCTCTGACCAGCTTCACGGTGTGCGAGAGGTTCCAGACGGACTTGGCGCGCCCGTTTGTCCTCTTCTCTTACGCCACCAAGGACGACGACAATGAATTCTTGCTCCACACCAATAAGCAAAACATCTTGAGTGTCTTTATGAAGCAGGGAATCGTCAACTTTGACACCTCCAAAACAGCCGTGTCCTCCACCTGCAAGGAGCACCTCTGTTTCACCTGGGACTCCGAGACTGGATTGGCAGCTTTGTGGTGGAACGGGCAACCCTTACCTCGAAAAATCATAAAAAACCTCAACGTCCAAGGCAACGCCTCCATCATTTTAGGACAGGAACAAGATTCCTTCGGCGGCCAGTTTGA